AAACAGCACCAGCTTCTCCCCCTCCCCCTTGAGAAAGAGGCTCTCATCACAGCTGCTGGTCCTGAATCCCATCTCCTCTAAAACAGCTGCCAACTTCTGGTACCAGCAGCGTGGCGCCTGCTTCAAGCCGTAGATGGACTTTTTCAGCTTGCACATCCTGCCCGTACCATCCTCATACCCAGGTGGCTGCGTCATGAACACCTCCTCCTCTAAAATCCCGTTGAGAAATGCCGTTGATATGTCCATCTGGATAATGAACTTCCCACTAACGGCTGCATCTGCCAACAAGACACGAAGGGTAGGGGGTTTGGCAGTGGGAGCAAAGATCTCATTGAAGTCCCGCTTCTCCTTCTGCATAAACCCCTTAGCCACCAACCTACTCTTGTAGATGGTGACCTGCCCCTTGTCGTCAGTCTTGATCCTTAGCACCCACTTGCATTGTACCGCTTTCTTTCCCTCAGGCAGCACCACTAGTTCCCAAGTCCCATTCTCCAGCAGGCTCTGGTACTCAGCATCCCTGGAAGCTAGCCATCTGTCCCTATCTGGTCCAGCTAATGCCTCCTCCATGCTAGCTGGTTCCTCTGGTGCAGGGGCAAGAAAACAGTACGCAGGTTGATCCTCCTCATCCGGGTCATAGCCATGCGGTAGAATCAGCAATGCCTCCTCGGTCCCAAGCTGCTGCTCCGCTACATCAGCTCCTGCAGTCAGCTTCTTAGTAGCCATACGGGTACGTCCTGGCCTGGAGACGGGTGTCTCCCATCCCTTCATAATAACACCCTTCGGCTTCTTAGTTTTCCCCTGCTGCTGCTCTCCTCCCTCGGATCCAGCAGCTCCACTAGTGCTACCACTAATCTCCACACCATCACCTCCACCAGCAGGTACCTCTTGCACCTTCTCTTTATCACCACCCTCTGCAGCTGCCTCCTCTCCCTCCTCCCACACACTAGGAGTCAGGTCCAGCTGCATGGTAATCTGCTCCATTTGCTGGGACACCCTGGCCTCCGGCTGTTTCTCCCAGCTCCCATACATCATGCCCTCAACAAACTTCACATCCCTGCTGTCAAACAACACACCCTTGGAAGGCTCCCACAGCAGCCATCCCTTGCTCTCAGCAGCCAGCCCCAAATGCACACACCAGATTGCACTCGCCCCCAACTTACTGCGGTAGGTCTTGGGAACGTGGGCGACTGCCATGCAACCGAACACCCTCAGCATGTCCACCGGCGGCTTCCTCCCAAGCCACCTCTCCAACGGCACCCACGAGTCATCCCCAACCTTTGTGAGTACCCTGTTCCTAGCGACGGTAGCGTGCCGAACAGCATGGGGCCACATCAAGTTGCCCAGCCCAGATTCATGTTGATCAACGAACATCCCTCCTTGTTCATGTTGATGTACGGGCCTAATAAACTCAAGCTATTAAGACTTTATCATACTTAAAACCTCTCCTCGGGGTCACCTCCAAGGGTCCTTGGGTGCCTGGTACAAGACCAGCCCCTATCCTCGGGTCCGAGTTTGTAGAGAGAGGGATCAAGAGGGACTTAGTCAAAACAGCAAGAGTACCTTGAACGTCGCGCAGCGTATCGTGCAGACCGTCGATCGGATTAAGCTGAGAATTTTCTATATCGAAGCTCACTCTAAGAGCTTTAAAATAAGCCAAGTTGCCTCGCGAAAAGTTCTGCCATTACGAAGTTATGGCTCGGACAGCGTTAGCCTAGCGTTGGAGTGCTAGCGTACTAGCGTTGTCTCGGGTAGCATTCCGCCGTCGCACCGCGTAGAAAAGAAATTCCAGCAAGGAAGGAATTCGCTTGAATCAATTTCACTATATTCAGGTACAAACAGAGAAGGAATAAATAGCTTTAGCTAGCAAGGACCTTGGGAATCAACCTGGGAACAACCAGGGATGATCCCAAATAATTCCAAGCAACAGAACCAACCTGGCTGGACAAAATAGCAGGTGATAGGTTGGTGAACAACCTCTGGTTCTGTTTTTCCAACCTGGGGAAACAACAACCAGGTTCAGGTCGTAAAAACAGAACCTGTTTTGTCTTTGCCCAACCAGCCAAATGCTGGTTCCGCTGGTTTCCCCTGGCCCTGTAGCATGCAGATACAGACAAACAACATCCAACCTTCACCTAAATTGTACCCCTATAGTGCCTGCCCTGCTACACTATAGTCAACCAAACAAAACAGTGCAATTTCGAGTTGGATAGAACTGAATCTGCGCAATCAAGTAAGCCGAACCGCAAAGCTTCCATCTTGGGTTCCTTTGCGAGCTCGTCCTTTCTGCTTGTACTGTTCATAGCGCGTACAATGTTATGCCGAAGCGCACAATGCGCGAGTACCTGCAAATGCTTCAAGCGAAAATTGCGAAAGCAAACAAACACACAACATTCCATTCATACCCAAATGCATTCGCACACGCATACTCGTACAAACAGACGGCAGGATGTCGTGCAATGTGAATTTGCACCCAACACAAGCCTCGGAGGAAGCCGGACCTCTCCCTTACTGCTCCGTCGACGTCCCAATGGATGACGAAAATCCTCGCAAAAGCGCCAACGCGGAAGTATTTTACCACTTCGCCAACAACGGTTACATTACACCTGCAGAAGTCAACACCAACGAAGCAGAACGCATAGGGCCCAACTTCATACCTGACCCAGAATCGGGTGACGAAGCAACTTATCTCGAGGACACAACACTCCCCCGCTACACACAGAGTGGTCTCCAGATACTCGGCCTCGTCACCGCAGTCCACGGCACGGAGATTCCTAAGGAGCCAGCCACAGTTCAGCAGGCTCTGGGGGGGAGCATAGGGAAAAATGACGCGAAGCCATACACAGGGAACTGAAAGCACTGGAGGAACGCAACACCTAAAAAGTCGTTCCCATCGGCGTGGCACAAAACAAGATAGTACTCACCGGGACATATGTCTTCCGTGTGAAGACAAAGGTAGACGGCACCATCGACAAGTTTAAGGCACGCTGGGTCGTACGCGGCTTCGACCAAGAGCACGGACGCGACTTCACCGATAAATTCACCCCAGTCAGTCGACACACCTCGCTACGAATTCTCCTCGCGATCGCCGCCATGAAAAGGAAGAAAATGCGGCAAATTGACGTCGCCAACGCATTCCTCTATGCACCTGTCGACGCAGAAATCTTCGTCGAACTACCACACGGCTCCAACAGAGAACCTAACCAAGTCTGTCAGCTGTTAAAATCCCTGTACAGCATCAAACAAGCTCCAAGGCTGTGGCAGCAGTATCTGCACGCAAGACTCATTCGCATGGGATTCCGCTTGCTACCTCACGACCAGGGCATGTATCGGCTCACAAAGGGCACCGACTACATCCTACTGATCGTCTACGTGGACGATTTACTCTACATCGGCTCAACCGACAACGTCACTACCTGGTTCAAAGGGGAGCTACAGAAGGATCTCACGCTCACGGTCTCATCCACCGTCACGCAGTATCTTGGCCTCAACATCCAAGAAGAAGAAGGCGCGATCTACCTCAACGCCGCGAAACATGCCGACATTATCGCCAAACGCTTTGGACTCACCCCGATCACCATATCCACGCCTAACCGCTACACCGCAGGAAATCACAAGGAAAGTTCCGCTCTACTCAAGCCCGCAGGCATTCGCGACTACCAGAGAAAGCTGGGGTGCCTTCTCTTCGCGGCCGTCACCTGCCGTCCGGATCTATCGTACTCCGCAAGTCAGGTCGCGACCTATCTCAAGAAACCTGAAGCAGAACACATGGCGGAACTCGACCGCGCTCTTCACTGCCTCGTTAGCACTCCGACGATCGGCCTGACCTATCACAAGAACAGAACCTCGACACCTAAGTCAATCGGCTACGTCGACGCCGATCACGCTAGCGACTCCGACAACAGACGATCGCGCACCGGCTACATCGATCGCTTCGAACCTATCGGACCCATCTCGTGGCACTCAAGCAAGCAGGAGTTAATCGACCACTCTTCAGCTGAAGCAGATGTCAAACTCATATGCTATAGTCTGTGTAGGCTGTAGTGGGGTAGACAATATGGGGTACAACACTTTTAGGTTTTCCTACTTGTACCCACTTGTTTGCTAGTTCATTCATTCCTCATTTTGTTCACATGGTATAGAGGAGGTTCCCTAGTGGGAACGCTTCCTAGGGCCCACCACTGAAATCGATTTTTTTTTTCCTGACCGGAGCGCGAGTCGCCCCTGCCTGAGGCACGCCCCGTGGGCCGCCCTCTCGTCGCGTCCCCTGCCCTTAGCGGCCTGTCGCGCCCTCCTAGAGGCCCCTCTCACGGCCCCTCGCGCCACCCTTAGCGGCCCCGTCGCCACCCCTAGCGGCCCCGTCGCCACCCTATACGGCCCCGTCGCCACCATATACGGCCCCGTCGCCGTCCTTTGCGGCCCCGTCGCCGCCCTTCTAGGCCCCTCGCGGCCCCTTCGCGGCCCCGTCGCCGCCCTTCGAGGCCCCTCGCGGCCCCTTCGCGGCCCCGTCGCCGCCCCTAGCGGCCCCGTCGCCGCCCTTCGCGGCCCCGTCGCCACCTCTAGCGGCCTTGTCGCCGCCCTTCGCGGCCCCGTCACCACCCCTAGCGGCCCCGTCGCCGCCCTTCGCGGCCCCGTCGCCGCCTCTAGCGGCCCCGCCGCCGCCCTTCACGGCCCCTCGCCGCCTCTTCTCGGCCCCGTCACCGCCCTTCGTGGCCCCGTCGCCACCCTTCCCGGCCCCTCCGCCACCAGCAGCAGCCGCCGCCAGCAGCAGCCGCCACCAGCAGCAGCCGACAGCAGCAGCAGCCGCCGACACCAGCGGCGGCCACCACCAGCAGCAGCCGTCGCCGCCGACAGCAGGAGCTGCCGCCGCGGTCGCGGCTCTGTCCCTGCCGACGCGCCTCGGCCCTGCCCCACCGCTTGCCGGCCCCTACCTACCAGCCCTGGTGAGAGCACTGCCGAGCCACGCCTGCTACTACTGCCCCTAGCCTGCTGCCACTGCTGTCATGGCTACCCCTAGTGTTCTAGTCTTTGATGCTGAGGGTCGGGCTGTTGACTTTGAGGTCTGGGTCGATGATCTACAGCTTTTCCTACGGTGCGATAGGAAGGACGGTCTCTCCCTGTTCGATCTCACATCTGGCGCCTCTACTGCCCCTGCTGCCGATGCTGACAGCACTGTTCACTCACAGTGGGCCACACGCGATGCTGCTGTCCGTCTTGCTGTGCGTAGTCACTTACCGTCCACTGAGCGCGCGCACTTTAGTCAGTACAAGAGTGCTAAGACCTTGTACGATGCTGTAGTTGCACGCTACTCTTCCCCTGCCACTGCTGCCCTTAGCCGCCTCATGATGCCGTACCTGTTTCCTGACCTTGCCGCCTTTCCCACTTTCGCTGACCTCGTTACGCACCTTCGCACTAGTGACACCCGCTACCGCGCTGCGCTTCCTGCTGAGTTCTGCGCCAAGAACCCCCCCCCCCCCCCCCCCCCATGTACATCACCCTCTACCACATAGTCACCCGGCTCCCTGACTCCCTTCGCTCGGTCAGGGACCACTTCCTCTCTGTTTGCCCCACCACACTCACCGTTGACCTCCTCGAGGAGCGCCTCCTGGCAGCTGAGAAGAGTATAGTCGCTGTAGGAGCCTCTCGTGGTGACCCTCGTGCCCCCGTCTTTGAGGGGTGCTCCCCCTCCCCCCTTTTGCCCTCTGTTGCCTCTGCTGCTGCCGTCGACTTCGTTGGCTTCGAGTCGGTCGGCGCTGCGTCTGCCCCTAGCGGGCGACGCCGCACCGGCAAGGGCAAGGGGGGCAAGGGCGCTGGAGGGGCTGGCGGGGGCGGTGGAGGTGGCGGTGGAGGAGGCGGAGGGAGTGGGGGTGGTGGTGGGAGTGACGGCGGGGGTGGGGGCTTCGGTGGCGGCAGTGGAGGCGGAGGCGGCGGCGGCGGTGGCGGTGGGAGCGGAGGAGGAGGCAGTGGAGGCGGTGGCGGAAGTGGCGGCGGAGGAGGTGGAGCTAGTCGGGGTGGCTCTGCGCAGCGGGGCGGCTTCGGTGGTGGTCAGCGCCAGCAGCAGCAGCGCGCTCGTGAGACCCCGCCCCCCCAGCAGCTTCGTGAGTGGTACTCTGCGCGTCAGCGGGGTGGGGGTACTGGTCCTTGTGCCTACGTCCTGTGTACCGGCGACCGCACTGGTGAGCAGTGCGGTGGCCCGCACACCACCCAGCGCTGCTTCGGCCGCCTGACGGACGCTTGGCGTCTCCATTTCCCTGACGCCACTGAGATCCCCCGCTGGGGCGAGCTGCTTAGGTCGGGAGTTGCTGTCTTTGATCTCGATTATGATGCCATTCTTGCTGCCATGTATGTTGTGTCTACTAGTGATGAGGGTGACTGTTACCTGTATGTTCTGCCTGACCCGGGCATTGAGGCTGCTGCTCTAGGTGCTGGTGAGGCTGCTGCTCTAGGTGCTAGTGCGTCTGCTGCCCCAGGTGCTGGTGAGTCTGCTCTCTCAGGTACCACGTCGGCTCAGGCCTTACACACCTTCACCCTTGACTCGGGTGCTTCCCGCTCCTTCTTTCGAGACCGCACCACGCTTACGCCGCTTAGTCGGCCAGTTGCGGTCTCCCTGGCAGACCCCTCTAGGGGTCCTGTCCTTGCCCACTTTTCCACTGTCTTACCGTGTCCGGCAGCCCCTTCTAGCACCCTGTCAGGTCTCTACCTCCCCTCGTTCTTTACGAACTTGGTGAGTGGAGCTGATCTACATGATGGGGGGGTTGAGCAGTTCACTCCTGCGAATCAGCGGGTGACCCACTACACGTGTGCTCGGACGGGCCGACACTTGGCCACGTTTACCCGTCAGCCGGGGTCGAGCCTGTACACACCGACTACAGAGTCTCCTCTTGTTGCTGAGTCTGGTCAGGTAGCTGCGTCGAGTCAGGTGTTTGCTGCAGCGTCCAGGTCTGGTCCTGAGTCTGCTCCCTGCTCGTGTCGTCTCCTATCCCACCAGACTCTCCTCTGGCACCACCGCCTTGGTCACCCCTCCCTGCCTCGTCTCCGAGGCATGGCCTCCCGTGTCCTTGTCTTTGGTCTCCCCCGGTCCCTCTCTCCCCTCCCTCCGGGGCCTAGCCCTACCTGCGTTCCCTGCGTCGAGGGGCGGCAGCGCGCCGCCCCTCACTCCTCCGAGTTTCCTCCGACAGAGGCTCCGCTGCAGACTCTTCACATGTGTTGGTGTAAGGGCCTAATAAACTCAAGCTATTAAGACTTTATCACACTTAAAACCTCTCCTCGGGGTCACCTCCAAGGGTCCTTGGGTGCCTGGTACAAGACCAGCCCCTATCCTCGGGTCCGAGTTTGTAGAGAGAGGGATCAAGAGGAACTTAGTCAAAACAGCAAGAGTACCTTGAACGTCGCGCAACGTATCGTGCAGACCGTCGATCGGATTAAGCTGAGAATTTCCTATATCGAAGCTCACTCTGAGAGCTTTAAAATAAGCCAAGTTGCCTCGCGAAAAGTTCTGCCATTACGAAGTTATGGCTCGGACAGCGTTAGCCTAGCGTTGGAGTGCTAGCGTACTAGCGTTGACTCGGGTAGCATTCCGCCGTCGCACCGCGTAGAAAATAAATTCTAGCAAGGAAGGAATTCGCTTGAGTCAATTTCACTATATTCAGGTACAAACAGAGAAGGAATAAATAGCTCTAGCTAGCAAGGACCTTGGGAATCAACCTGGGAACAACCAGGGATGATCCCAAATAATTCCAAGCAACAGAACCAACCTGGCTGGACAAAATGGCAGGTGGTAGGTTGGTGAACAACCTCTGGTTCTGTTTTTCCAACCTGGGAAAACAACAACCAGGTTCAGGTCCTAAAAACAGAACCTGTTTTGTCTTTGCCCAACCAGCCAAATGCTGGTTCCGCTGGTTTCCCCTGGCCCTGTAGCATGCAGATACAGACAAACAACATCCAACCTTCACCTAAATTGTACCCCTATACTGCCTGCCCTGCTATACTATAGTCAACCAAACAAAACAGTACAATTTCGAGTTGGATAGAACTGAATCTGCGCAATCATGTAAGTTGAACCGCAAAGCTTCCATCTTGGGTTCCTTTGCGAGCTTGTCCTTTCTGCTTGTACTGTTCATAGCGCGTACAATGTTATGCCGAAGCGCACATTTTGCGATTGCCTGCAAATGCTTCAAGCGAAAATTGCGAAAGCAAACAAACACACAAACATACCATTCACACGCAAATGCATTCGCACACGCATACTCGTACAAACAGACGGCAGGATGTCGTGCAATGTGAATTTGCACCCAACACACTCCCCCTCAGCCTGCCGGCTGCATCCCCATCATTCCATACTAGTTCATGCTCATTCCACTCATGCGCACACAACGCCAATGAGACTCATCCGCAAGCCTCTTGGTGAGGAAGTCTGCTGGCTGCTGGTGAGTCTTGATGTAGATCGGATTCACCGTCCCCCTCTTCACCTCCTTACGCAGCCAGTGCCTTTTGATACGCATGTGCTTATTGAGCCCATGAAGCACAGCGTTACTCGCCATCCCAAGAGCTCCCTTGCTATCACAAAACAGCGGCGTAGCAACCTTTTGCTCCTGGCCAATCTCCTCCAACAGCCTCCTCAGCCAAATCACCTCCTTCACCCCATGGAACATCGCCATGTACTCTGATTCCACGGAAGAGAGTGCTGTCTCCGTCTGCTTCTTTGACCTCCAACTAACCGGTCCTCCCCCAACTACGCAGATGTATCCTCCCACAGATGAGGAATCCTCCTTCTCAGAGGCCCACGTAGCATCAGTAAAGCAAGTGAGAAAAAGCTTGCCTTCTCCAAGCCTCTCCCCCTTCTCTTTCAGCACCTCAACCCCTTTCTGCTTCACCTGTGCAGATGCGGAGTATTGAACTCCAATGCTTGGGTGAGAGTTCAGATACTTCACCACACGCTCAGCTGCATCCACCTGCTCCTCTGATGGATTCTGCACTACCCTAGCCAGCTGCCCAACCGAGAAAGAGATGTCGGGTCTCGTGTGAACTGCTGCATACAAGAGGCTGCCCACCAAGGACTGAAATTGCTGCTGCTCCTCGGCTTCAACCCCTTCATCCTCTGCAGCTTTCACAAGCTTGAATTCTGCTGGCAGGGGAGTTGCAACCTTGCGCTCATTCTCAATTCCGTACTTCTCCCCAAGCTCCTTGATGAACTTCTCCTGGTGCAGCTTCAACCACCTGTGATCCAGATCCCTCTCCACGTGCATCCCGAGGTAGTACTTTACCTCCCCAAGGTTCTTGCACTTGAAGTTCTCCATCAGCTGCTGCTGCACCTTCTGGATCTCCTTCATGCTGCTGCTAAAGAGAAGAATGTCGTCCACATAGACCAGAAACAGCACCAGCTTCTCCCCCTCCCCCTTGAGAAAGAGGCTCTCATCACAGCTGCTGGTCCTGAATCCCATCTCCTCTAAAACAGCTGCCAACTTCTGGTACCAGCAGCGTGGCGCCTGCTTCAAGCCATAGATGGACTTTTTCAGCTTGCACACCCTGCCCGTACCATCCTCATACCCAGGTGGCTGCGTCATGAACACCTCCTCCTCTAAAATCCCGTTGAGAAATGCCGTTGATATGTCCATCTGGATAATGAACTTCCCACTAACGGCTGCATCTGCCAACAAGACACGAAGGGTAGGGGGTTTGGCAGTGGGAGCAAAGATCTCATTGAAGTCCCGCTTCTCCTTCTGCATAAACCCCTTAGCCACCAACCTACTCTTGTAGATGGTGACCTGCCCCTTGTCGTCAGTCTTGATCCTTAGCACCCACTTGCATTGTACCGCTTTCTTTCCCTCAGGCAGCACCACTAGTTCCCAAGTCCCATTCTCCAGCAGGCTCTGGTACTCAGCATCCCTGGAAGCTAGCCATTTGTCCCTATCTGGTCCAGCTAATGCCTCCTCCATGCTAGCTGGTTCCTCTAGTGCAGGGGCAAGAAAACAGTACGCAGGTTGATCCTCCTCATCCGGGTCATAGCCATGCGGTAGAATCAGCAATGCCTCCTCGGTCCCAAGCTGCTGCTCCGCTACATCAGCTCCTGCAGTCAGCTTCTTAGTAGCCATACGGGTACGCCCTGGCCTGGAGACGGGTGTCTCCCATCCCTTCATAATAACACCCTTCGGCTTCTTAGTTTTCCCCTGCTGCTTCTCTCCTCCCTCGGATCCAGCAGCTCCACTAGTGCTACCGCTAGTCTCCACACCATTGTTTTCACCAGCAGGTGCCTCCTGCACCTTCTCTCTAGCACCACCTTTTGCAGCTGCCTCCTCTCCCTCCTCCCACACACTAGGAGTCAGGTCCAGCTGCATAGTGATCTGCTCCATCTGCTGGGACACCCTGGCCTCCGGCTGTTTCTCCCAGCTCCCATACATCATGCCCTCAACAAACTTCACATCCCTGCTGTCAAATAACACACCCTTGGAGGGTTCCCACAGCAGCCATCCCTTGCTCTCAGCAGCCAGCCCCAAATGCACACACCAGATTGCACTTGCCCCCAACTTACTGCGGTAGGTCTTGGGGACGTGGGTGACTGCCATGCAACCGAACACCCTCAGCATGTCCACCGGCGGCTTCCTCCCAAGCCACCTCTCCAACGGCACCCACGAGTCATCCCCAACCTTTGTGAGTACCCTGTTCCTAGCGACGGTAGCGTGCCGAACAGCATGGGGCCACATCAAGTTGCCCAGCCCAGATTCTATGAGCAGCGCCCTAGCTGTCTCCAGAATTGTCCGGTTCGCCCGTTCTGCTACACCGTTGGACTGTGGGGTGTAAGCCGTGGTCAGCTCCCTCTGGATGCCCTGCTTCTTGAGCCAGGCCGTCATCTCAGCTCCAAGGAACTCACCACCCCGATCTGTCCTAATCCGCTTCACCACACACTCCGCTTGCTTCTCCACGAACGGCAGCCAATCGTCCCGAATCGTGGAGGCGGCGTGATCTTTCTGCTTCAGCGGATACGCCCACATTAGCCTGCTCCAGTCATCCACTATGGTTAGGAAGTACCGCTCCCCCTTGTGCCCTTGCACCGGTAGCGGCCCCACCAAGTCCATGTGGACCAGCTCCAACGGCTTTTTGCTCCTGCCAGCCACACTATGGAAGGGGAAACGGGTGAACTTTGAAAGGAGGCAAATTTCACAGTTATCATCGGGTGGTTGTCCGTTCAGCTTTAAGCCCTTAACGGCTCCATCCTTCTCCAGCTGCTTCAGCAAAGGCATTGCCACATGCCCCAAACGTCGATGTGCAGTTGCCCAATCTGTCTCCCCAGATCTGGCCGACACTTTCACACCAACCCCTCCAACGGCGTTGCACTCCCCCTGGGATGCAGACCCCTCTCCAGCCTGCCCCCCACCGTGCCACGCCAGCGCCGGCAGCTGCCACATAGATCTGTACACGTCCTTGCTCTCGTGCAGATCCCAAAGCACCCGATTGCCCAGCTTCCCCTTATAAGTGCGAGCCCCATCCGTGTTGGTGTTCACCCCAGCCTTGCCAAGCTTACGGAGGGAGATGAGGTTGGCCTTCATGTCGGGGACGAGGAGAACGTCGTGCAGCACCACCGGCTTGCCATCCGCTCCCTTAAATGCAGCTCGTCCCGCACCAGCCACCTTCAACATGTGTCCAGAGGCAGAGCACACCTCATTAATCGGTGCAGCGCGTACGTC